ACCACACTGTGACTGAATATAAAACAACTGTTGGTCTGTTCAAATGTGCAGCTGATGTGCTACCAATCACGGTCAAAACAGGTTGTTTTTCACACAAAGTGAGGTGTTGATCCTCCACTCAGGGGCATGAACGCAAGTTACTGAAGTGTTAATGAGGTTGCGCAGAAAAAAGAACATACAGAGAGGGAGAAAGGAAGACAGAACGCAAAAGAATCTCCATAGCTTTGACTCAATAGCCAGAATAGAGTTACATTCACCAACAACAAGAGCTAAGCTGGCATGGAAATGCTGACCTTAAAAATGGTCACTCATTTAAGAAATTCAGTGAGTCACATGTCAGGTGGAATTTAAAGCTACTGTTTTGGGGTTGTTTGTTTGGAAACAATAACAAGCCTGTAGAAATAGTACAGAAATCAAAAGTGAAATTAGCTTTTTAGCAAAACAAAGCATAGAATGTTATTTCAGAAATGTATTTAACTATAACTGTTTTTATTATGCATTTTTAATTCTAACAAATACATTACAAAATATATATATAAATGCCTGGTTTGACACATTATAATTTTTGTTAATCAGTTGTCGTAAAGACACAAACAACTTTCTGTTTCACTTGGCAAATTTGTAGAACTGGTTTGTTAAGCTCCATACTGATACGGCATGTGCACACACACAAACCTTGTTTTTTTGGTTTCGGTTTACATACCTTAATCAGTTCTGAAAATGTAATATTATTTTAATGCCAGGAAGATATTTTCATTGTTTATTATGAAGTACATCAATGGGATAAATATCTAGTCAATGCATATTGAATGGTGGTTGAATCATTTATTATTTGTGTTACATAAATAAAGCAGCAGAATTATGGGGCTCACTGGACAGACTGCCACTCACTCTACATGACATTTCCATTCAAAACACAAATTAATTTATTGATAATTATATTCACATATGTATATATATATATATATATATATAAATTTTCACTTATAAAAGACAACTTAAAAACTAACAAGATTTAGTGCAAAGGCAGAAACAGTAAAAAAAAACAAAAAACAACTATTGTTTTTATTTTACAATTTTCAGTACAAAAAACAGTGAGGTTAGAGATGTGTGTCGGCGATAGGAATCCGCCGCAGCTCTACGATTTGAGAGTTAGCCACACTACCTCCACCATGACTGCCGTGGATTGACTCGTTGTCACTCACATTAAGGCTAGAACCTATTTGTGGGTAAAACATTATTCCCAAATTGTGTTAAAAAACTTTACTAGTATTCACCAAGATCACAGGAATTATTATAGATCTGTAAGGATTTAGGTGCATTTTTTTTTTAAGAAAGGGACTTACCTGTTTTTAAGGCAAATATGAGGTCATCAAACTCCTGTGACTCCTCGTCCTGCACCAGATTAGTGTTGATGAAGCCTCCTTCTGTGATGTAGGTCTCGTCCTGAGGACTGTTTGAAAACACTGCTAGGCTGACTGCTGGGCCTCAGTGAAGCTCTCTCCCAGTCTGCAGAGATCTGCAAAATATTACAAAAAAGGTCTTTAAATGTCACAAAAAAAGCAAATAACTACCAATTTTCAAAGCTTCACCACATTAAAATGCCTTTTGTTGTTCATCTAGTGTACTCAGTCTGAGCTGAAAGGAGCCACACAAATCAGCTATTCACCGGTGTGTCTGGTGCAGGGGTCATTCAGAGGTTACGAGGGCTTGGATGTCTATAAAGATGGGTTTGGGGGGTGAGTCAGCATTCACAAGCATTCAGACGTTTCGTAATGAATTCTGGTATAGCTGGGGATGAGATTTATATGTGAGGAAAGTTTATAATGTTACAAAAGATTTCTTTAAAAAAAAAAAGTTTATTTGAACATTATATTCTTTAAACAAATTAATTTATAAGAGGTTTATTCCAGGTTTTTTTCTTTTCTAAACTTGAACAACACAAAAACCTGATAGACTATAATTATTCCTAATCAATGAATGATAAGTCTCACATTATCACCTCAGAAACACCTCAAGTTACAGTAAAACAACCAAACAGCTCCTTCACAGGAGCTGCTGAAACAGTTCTACTCCGCCATCATTGAATCTGTGGAAGCTTCTGTCACGAAAACAAATTCCTCGTATGTGTAAACATACCTGGCAATAAAGCTCATTCTGATTCTGATTCTGATATGCACACTCACATAATTTAAATTATATAATAATGCAGCAAACTGATGATGAACAATATTGTGAACAAGAACATAGCCAACTAAACTCTGCTACACAAACACCCTTTAATATCTTCAACACGGCTGATTTGGGACGCATCAATTCATATTTTCACATGTTTCTCTGTTATTTTGTTGTTATCCCACTAGTGGTCATGCAGAATCGTAATATGAATGGCGTAACAAACTATTTACCAGCTGACACATTTCTAACATTCTCACACTTACACTACGCGACATACAAAACTAAATACTGTAGAGACTTATGTCATGAAGAGGCAGTGATACTTCTGACTCCATTCTGTGACATAAACCTACTCTTTCACTCATTTCAATCATCAAAGTAAAGAACAATTAGCCCCATTAAACACAACATTTCCTTTGGCTGGGCGCTTTTTCCCAGGAGGATGGAGGGAGAGGCCACTCCAGTCCCCCATGTCCCAGGCACCTCATTCTGGTACAACAGCCCATCGACAGTCCTGTAATCAGAACAGAATGTACGCCGGGTGAACTGAGCACCGCCAGGCAGGCACCTAGTCATGCCTGTTTGAAGAGCCTGAGGAGACGGCCACCCCTCAGAGCACTGTTTCCTTTCCTCTCTCCACCAGTCACCTCCTCCCAGCCCAACTACCTCTTGTCTCGAGGCCACATGTGACACTACGAGCTGCTTTAAGCTAGGAGTCAGTGCTCTCATGAACAAAACAGGATTACTTCACTTCTCTGAAATCTGCACTTGGAGGTCAATGTCCCTAAAACTAGAGTCCTGCCACAATCTTATGGATTTGTCCACTCATGCTGTATTTTCAAATCAAAATTCAATATGAGTGGGAAACTATATAATCAATAGATACTACTAAGCAGGGGTTTTGAGAATAAATTGGCTTTACCTGAATAAATAAATATATTATGAACAATTTCAAGCCACTTTGGATGGATTTTTTCTCCTTTATATAAACTTTTTCCATTTTTGGAGCTTAAACTTGAACACACTGAAAACCTCTAACACTGCTGGCACATAAACAAAGTACGAAGAAGTAGGGTGAACTACGTAAAGGTGGAATGAAGCACTGTTAAAGGGTTTTTACTTTCATCCTTTAAGTTTCATGATAATACAAGCCTCCTAAATGTAAATGTAAAACCAAACTAATATTTACTATTAGAGGTGGGAATCTGGTATTTCATGACTCAGATTTTGGCAAACACGATCACATAAAAAAATGACTCTCGATTTAAATTTGTTTTTTCTTATTAATTAATTAATGAATTAATTAATTAATTAATTAACTAGCATTTATGTGTTGAATCAAGCCTCCTAAATGTAAATGTAAAACCAAACTAATATTTACTATTAGAGGTGGGAATCTGGTATTTCATGACTCAGATTTTGGCAAACACGATCACATTCAAAAATGACTCTCGATTTAAATTTGTTTTTTCTTATTAATTAATTAATTAATTAATTAATTAACTAGCATTTATGTGTTGAATTTTATTAAATTATATAAACACACAAGTACTATCGTGTATATGCGAGAAAAAAACTAAGCTTAGAATCGATTTAGAATTGTTAAAAAAATGCAATGCCTTGAAGAATTGATATTTAATAATAGATCTTTCAATATAATTAGGCACAACTTTTTTCAGATAAAAGTGGGGCAGTGGTTTTCATTCAGCAAATATTTTTGCTGTATTTAAATTATGCATCTTAAATCTATCAGCAAATTGTGCTTAAATACATGCCACATCTGGTTAAGCTGGTCAAGCTGTTTAGTGTTTTTTTTTTGGACAATGGCATGGTGCAGTAGGTCATTTGTTACTGTTTTAAGGTGGTCAGCCTGGTCAATCTCATCACCACCAGTTCATAGTCAAGATAATCCATCATCTAAATCAGCTTGGACTGACTAATAAATATAAATGATCTATGAAATCCATAAACTGTTCATGGGAAGGGTAACACATAGGGTACGGCATTTGTTGTGCACTGTATGGCACTGTAAATTGTGTCTCACTCTTTATCTGAAAGCTGCCATCTCAGTTCATCTACTGTAACATGTTGAGGTAAAGTAGAACAGTAGTTAAAACACCCAAGAAAACAATTCAATGTTATCATTTAAATAATTACAAGAGGCTGAGATTCTGCAGCCAATAAGCTTGCTCAGTCAAAATTTAAATATTCTGGTTCAGCGTTCACTGTAAGCTTGTCTTGCAGCACAGGAAACCTCCACCTCCCCAGCTCCACATGTCTAGATCTGCTACGAGATTTCTTTATGCCTATTCATGCAGCAGCAGCAGCAGCATAACTTACATGCTCACAGCAACATGTCTGAGGGCCCTATTTTAACGATCTAAGCGAATGGTCTGAAGCGCATTGCGCAGGTGCACTTAGAGTGTGTCCGAATCCACTTTTGCTAGTTTAACGGCTAGTTTAACGACGGAAAAAATGGTCGGTACGCCAGGCGCACAGACCAAAAGGGTTGTCCAATTCTCTTAATGAGTAATGGGTGTGTATTGGGAGTAACGTGCAATAAATCAATCAGAGTCTCATCTCCCATTCCCTTTAAAAGCAAGTTGCGCTTGCACCATGGCGGATTTGCTATTTACATGGCGGAATTTGCAAGAGCAAAGACTAAACGCTTCTCCAGAGAGGAAAGGTTCTGCTCGTGCGCGAGGTTCAAGTGAACAAGCAGACCATCTATGTGGCACAATAATAATCTTTTACATTGTAATCCTTTCATTTTTAATATTTGGCATGTTTGTTTGCTGCTGTGCGTCCCTGTGTGTGTATTA